GCGTGTCGGTCTGTAGGACATCAAAGGGGACGAACATTCGCCGAGCACATCAGCCGTTGGGGATTGGGCGAGCAGCAGCTCGCTGCTCGGCGAATGCCGAATATGTGGAACCGCCTTTAGATTGGTTAAAACGCAACTGGGTGTACTCTCAAATGCCTTCAGCTCACAGATGTTACAATGTTACTAGGAATTATCGAGAAATGTACGTTAGAGATATGAACGAATAATCGAACAGTATTCATATTCCTTACGTCATTTATATTTACTTCTACAGAAAATCAACAACCTACTTTTTAAAATTCTTCCTACTTATACTAGTAATATTTCATTGATTTAATTAATACAAGAGAGTTACAATAAACACATACAATCAATTTTTTAATAGAAACTTATTTAACCGAATCTAATAATTTGGTAACCGGCGTCGTTAGTCAAATTCGTTAACTACGTGAAGTCACGAAGGTTTCAAAGAATTCGAGATATCGCGGCTTCCTAGCTTGGTGACCGACTAGGAACCCCGGGATCTAACAACGCCTAGGCCAATTGTCCTTTACGGGATACATAATGGCTCAATACAAAAAATTACTTGGAACTTATTTAATAGCAAAACTATATAAAACTATCCTCTCGTAAGGCGACATTTAAAATAATACTAATTGTGGACCCTACTTTAACAAAAATTGCGTCCACTGTTCTCATTGCACTCGCACAATAAAACATCCCAAGTCGCAATTTACAGAAAACTTTCAAAACAATTTACAGTATAACCTCGCCTCTCGTCTCTCGCCTCAAACTCGTTCGGTTGAAAATCGATTCGTGGCGTGCACGTTTTTAACAACTTGCAAAAAATCATTAAAGGACGCTTCCACCTGAACCTCCAACGTGCACGTATCAATGGAAATTCCGAACCATCAAACTTCTCGCAAGTACAAGTAATGAATAGGGTTCATGACAGAATTTGGGTTTACCTGAAGAGACCAACATTCAAGCAATGAAATGACAGTATTTATGATCCATTCTTGTTCACTAATACAATTCACCAAATAAATCTAATCCTCAAAAAATGTTATTCGTTCACAATTACAGTTTGGCAAGATTTAAAATGCAAGAAATTTATTCTACAAAATAGTGATTTATTTCCTACCCATTCCTAGCAAAAAGATTGGGCAATGACTTGTTCGAGCTTAAGAAGACGTGGCTTGCCACTGCATGACGGGCACTAGTTGAAAATGAGCATATCCTGCGTCAGACGCGTACCAGGCCGCCTTCGGCGTTGGCGACCCAGCCGCAAGTGACTGCTACTGTAGTCAAGTCACTTACATACACAATCTATTGTAGTTTCTGTTCACGCGACCCAGTGAACTACTGAACCCACTAGCGCACCCTTGCGAGAACACTCGCTAATGCAAACGCGATCCCCTCCCATTCACCCTACATCGGAATGAGCGGGGAAATACTGTTAGCGAAACGTGTTTTAGTAGAATTCGAGAAACTGCACGCTCCACCCTAACCACGGACTGGAAGTGCCCAAAAGAGTCAACTCCCCAAAAATGAAACAGGTTTTAAAAAAGCTTGTTAATTATGGAGTGAAGAACATAAGTCGCGGCACTTGAGAACCAAGTTTACCAGCCCTTAGACGTACCATTTTCGAGTTGAGCACGATCGATGTCTGAACAAACCATCACGCAGGCCGTACGTTACGGGTTGCATTTATGCCGAGTTTATCGAGAAATATTAATATTTATGAGGCGCAATTCTCACTCTTTCCGTAAAATGATTTCTCTTGGAATCTTACTGTTGGATGGGTTTCTACATTACTACACAAATGTCGTAGATTCGTATTTAGTGGAATAGAACGAAATATCTCGTTTGAAAAAATGAATCGCGGTATGCGGACATGCCATGCGGTAGACCACCAAAGCGAACATTGTGGCCTGCGTAGCACGAAGTGTAAAGCCAAGTCTTGAGCTCCATTTTGACTTACGCTGCTTGGGAATTCCTCGTTTCAATCGCAACCTCCTTAGCAATATTTTGCGAAGGGCAAACCCTGCCGTTGAAACGCGTCCGAAAGTGTCACAGAAATGTAATTCAAAAACTGTTTCCGATGAGAAAACACGGTAATACAGGGTTTGTTTCGAAAATGCATGGATTCGGACACGTTGACCAAACAGGTGGCTGGTGTTGGGCTCTCGGCCACTGAGAAACTACCGCCCGATCAACTCTCGGCGGGTGACTCACGACGTCCTCGAACTTGCCTTGTAATGTTAAATGTTTATTTTTTTATCAACTCAACATTTCTTCACTATCATTTACGAGAGTTCTCTGTGTAATGTGACCGGATCCGAGTTGTGCAACCGATTCACACGGGGCGATATTGCGCCATGGAGACGCCTGCCGACCAGACTGTTGGAACAACGTACAATTCGCGAAGACAAGATCAGAACAATTTGTAAAAGTGACTAGAAAGTTCACGAACGTTCATGGGCATCTCTCTGTCTCAGTAGGATTCCGTCAGTTTCATTGAATAGACTAAGATTTAGCATAAGGGCAAAGTACCAAGTGGCCGGTGGAATCGATGTTTCAGTTAAACCCTCTTAAAGGAATGTCAGAAACCACTGAATGCCTGCTCAAATTTATTTTCTTCTGCGTTTAATTTCGAAGTTTTTTATTTACAAAAGCGTCTCAAGAACGTAACGCAATTTTCGAAACATAAATTTAATACCAAGTTACCTTAAGTGTAAATGTTAGCGTTTGTTTAAAGCGTTACGATTCGGGACCGGAAATTTATATAATATGCTTGTTAATTAATGAATTATTTCTGATTTATCGCCGTTTCTTTCTTTTCCAGGTATGTTGAGGGACTGTAAAAGGTGCCCAGATGGAAGTTAGCTCAATGGATTTGACTGATTACAGATTCCGGGCGCGTCAATTGCTCAGGTCATTAGTCTCGTACGTGTGGTGCATGCTTTTGCTCGGGAGGTGGCGGTGTTCTCCCTGGGCAATGATGAGATTCAGCGCCAACCTAAACGTCGGCATGCGGGGCTTTCCCCACCAGGTATCTTCCACCAGCGGGGCTTCACCCCAGCCACGGCAAGCTCTAAGCCCCCGTCTGGTCTCTCGGCATATACGGAAGGGTAAGTCTGTGTGTAAGGCCTGAGAATAAGACAAGGAAAAGGAAGGAAATATCGCGCGCAGTCCGTGACCCGTTCGTTAGGACACTGCTTCGGCATTCCCCTAGTGTTGATCGGAGAAACCAGGGAAATTACCGATCAGAACATCCGGTCGCTAGAATTTTCCTCCAGACAGTGGCTGAATGCGACTTAGCCATGTAGCCAGAGCCGAAAATCTTGCCACCGCCGGGATTCGAACCCTAGGTCCTCCCCGATAGAGGCAGTGTGGTGACGTCAGTTGATGCCCTGAGCCACCTAAGCCGGTAGCACAATGGGGACGGTGTTAGTGTTGCGCGTCCTCTAAACGTATAACCAAAGGTAAAAAAATCGACTCGTTCGGGCCCAATACATTAAGTGCTGTGATCTACAAGAAACGCATTTTAATTATGATAAAAAAATATTAAATGAAACACGTTTTATCCTCATATTTTGAAAACACAGAAGGTCCAATTATTCAATTACTTTGGCGGCATGCATGAAGATGACATTGCCAAACGTGGAACATGCTCAATTGTGTAAAGAGAGGAAGAAATGGGAAAGGGAGGAAAAGAGGAAAGAGAAAAGGGGGAAGGTGGGAAAACGGGAAAGAGTAAAATGGGAAAGAAAAACAAAACAACTGACCTTCATGACGGTGGCGACGCAGATGGAGGAGAGGTTGAGCGGGTCGACGGCCTCGAGCTTCATGCCCTCGCGGAAGGCGGCGGCGGGCGGGGGCGCGGGCTGGGGCGGGGGCTCGCAGAAGAGCGCGGGCCACGCGTCCTCGTGGCCCAGCTGGCCGGCCTCGCAGCGCTCGAGGTAGCCGCGCGGCGCCGCGATCGCCTGGCCCACGCGCCGCGCCCACCCCACCGGGTGGATGAGCGGCGAGTCCTCGTGGCACCAGAAGCCGCTGTCGTCGGGCTCCGCGTTGTAGTACATCACGTGCAGGCGCTTGCCCACGATGTTGCGGATGGTCGCCACCTTCACGCGCGAGATGCGGTTCTTGTCCACCACCTGCGACACCACACACACACACGCACACACCTTCGCTCACGCTCGGCCCTCGCCCTGCCGTCTCTCCCTCTGACAGCCGACTGGGAGACTTGGACAAGTCGACTGACGATGCTCAAGTCATCGTACTCAGTAAGTCTCTCCAGTCTATTTACTCGACAAAATGCTATTCACTGAAAATTAAACACCTTCAAATAGAACATTTATTTAACTGCAGTCTTGCGGATAGTGTTTTTTTATTATTAATTTAGTCATTCCGGGAAAGACAACAAATTTAATAAATATATGACCTGCTACATTGTTATGAGAGCAATGGTCTCTTTCGGCAAAATAAATGAAAATATAGGAAGATTGAGTTTTTTTTTGAAAAATCGAGAAAATACCAAGTACTAATAGTGTATTAAATTGTCCTCATAAATACTAGTTTCTACGTAGGAGAAATAAATCTTTAAAGCTAAGATCAACAATAAAATACATAAAAATGTTTCATTTTTAAATAAATAATTATAATTAATAAATTAAATCAATAAAAATGTGCATTAAAAAGATTAATAAGAAAATTGAAGCATATTAATTAAGCTACAGTACAAAGTCAGTGTGTTGGTAAGTAAGGGGTGAAGATAGGACGAGGAAGCGGAGGGAAAGATCGCGCGTGGCGCGCTTGTTAGGGTACTACTCCAGGATTCCTCTCGTGTTGGTAGGAGAAACCGTGGAGAACTACCGATCAGAGCAGCCGGCCGCTAGAATTTTCCTCCAGACAACGGTTGAATTCGACCTAGTTATCTAGCTGGTATCTAGTAAACTCGTTATCGAAAATTCCGCCACCGCCGGGACTCGAAACCCAGGACATCGCGATCAGAGGCACGGCAGTGACACCAATTCATGAACTATACCACCTAAGCCGATAGCTAAATCGATAGCTTTCGATAGATGAGGCAGTTAATCTTGCTTCTCCTAATTTAACCAGGTACAAACAGGTTTTCGCGAATGTTGTGTCTTGTTGTTGTTATTTTTTGTTTTTGTTTTTTTTTGTTAAAAATGACTTACTTAAGGGCGGGAATATATTTTCAGCAAACGCTGATTCTGTAACTACAACGTTCGACGTAGTGATATTATTCATCAGGTGACAGTATCAACTGCTCGCTACAAAAAATTCACATATAATACATGTACATTATTTACAACACCTTGCCAGATGACATTAAACGATTAAATTCAATACAAAAGTTAAAGTCCCAAGTAAAATATTTTCTGCTGCACATCAATTTCTATACAATTAGAGACTATACAATATTAATTTTAACAACATTTCGTGTATTATTTACCATTTGGATTGTATAATTGTAAAGAACCTGTAACAAGTATCGTACTTCAGCTTCTGGGTCAATGACCCCCATCTCGATCAGATTTTCGTCCATTTTCCCTGATCCTTGAGAAAATGCTGAGATGGCCCTTTGTTTTGCTTCTGGACATAAATGTAACTTCAATTTTATCTCTTCCCATAGCACGTCACACACAGGTTTTAACAGTTTCTGACGAAAATAAATAAACAAACAAATAAATAAGTAAATAAAATAATTCACTTAATTTTTTATTGCACTAATTACCTTTTTTAAGGGTTAATTTGGCGTTCATTTTTCTTTCAAGTCTTTTTAAATGAAAAAAAAAAAAAAGGTTGGCTGGTGCAAAACGCAGCCTAACAGAACATAGTAACATGAAGTCAATCCCAGTCAAAGAAGTAAACGCAAATGGTTCAACTTCCTAAGAAACTATTAACATCGCGTCATTAATTTTCGACTGAATGTGATCAAAATCGTCTTCGGCCAACACCGTATCCCCTTTAAGCTCATTCCTATTTGTTTAACCGGGGCACTGAAGTCCACTTTACACAATAATCCTTATTTAGTATTCGAGTAACCTGTGTCGGTCCGTCACTCACGGTTTGACCACTTCCCGTGCACCTGTCGAAATGCATGAGTTGTCATTCAACATATCTCGGTCTCTTGGTGGGGGACTGATAATTTGTTTTCGAATCCATCGAGAATATTTTACATTTCCGAAAAACGTGATTTTGTGTTGTTCTTTTTTTAGCGCTGCGATCTAGCAGGGCAACCCAGCGCTATAGGCGATGACAGATCGCATCACTCGAAAAAGGAAAACGTTAAGTAATACCACTCCACTGGATTACATTGTTTAGATTTCATAGGATAATTTTGTGTGCATCGTATTCGACAGTGCTCAAGGGATAATCCTCTTTTTTGAATAATTTTTAACCACGAAATCCTATTCTCATGTAAATGTACAAGAATGGAACAGAAAGTTCTCTAATATGAGCTTGCAAATTTTCTTTAACGAGCCGCAATGACAATTCTCTGGAAGAATATTCTCTTCCGAACAACTCCACTGCGAGCGTTCGGATAGCGTTTTTTCTCGCCGCGCCGCATGCTGGGATGGGCGATGTCCATAGCGCGAAAACACATCACGCAACAAATGCGACCACGCACTTCTTTACATTTAATTCTTAACTATTTTTAAGAACTACGCCCGAGCCCAAAAGCACCTGACAACTGTTTGACTGAAGCGTCTTTTTTTTTTTTTTTTTTTTTTTTTTTTTTTTTAGAAGTGCTTAGTAGAAAGTTTAAACTTAGTGAAAATATTTTTAAAAACGGTTTGAAGCATCGGCGACGCCACATTCCGCTAGTTAGCAAAATATGCAAATCGATATATAAAACTGCTCTTTCCTCGTTCATTAGCCAACCCAATTATTTTGTATGCATTCCATGAGGGGGGTTATTAAAAAGGTTATTTTATTATCTAAGTAATTATTCAAAATAAAGATGTACGAAAATCAATAGATCTCTTTGATTTGTTCCAAAGGACCAAATCCGTGAAAAATTACAAACTCCTCTAATATCACAGCTAACTTTTCTCCGATTTCTACTCATCTGTGTCCTATTGTTTCCACGTTATCATCAATCAAACAACTGAAGAACATCGCTATCGTTTTTCATAATAAGCATTTCTAACGAGAGAAGGATAGTCAAACGGAGTAACTTCAGCCACCTGTAGTAATTTCGGCCCTTGCATCGGCAAACAGGTTTAATTGTGCTATTCCCAGAATCCGATGATTTAACCTATTTCGAGATTAGCGTTGTCTATCCAATAGATGTCTAGCAATCTAAAAGATTCACGAATATTTGTTGCTCGCTAATAGACATACAGTGGCCAATTATATCAGATTAATATAGTCATAATATGGAAGAGAGAAATCAAACTACTATATGCTTGCGGCCCTTTTTTATGAATTTCTCAGTTATTGTGATACTGGGTGAATATACCTTAACAAATGAGGAAGGGAAAATAATACATTTAACAATTGTTTATTTCATGAAGTATTACATTCTGAGAGGTTCATATTGTAGGTAACTTAGGTCATGGCAAAAATGCAAAATAATAATAATAATAATAATAATAATAATAATAATAATAGTTATTATTATCGTATTTGTATCTTTCAATTACTTTTGGATTTTTATTAATGATTATAAACCACGCTTCATGCTTGTAAAAACAAGCTTAAAAGAATTGTCCCTAGCACAATGGTTCAATTATTTAAGATAACGTCCTATACTGGGTCTCAATGTGCAGTTTGGGGATTTCCTCCAACGTATATGTGAGATAAGTTCCCATGGAGGAAGAAACTCGACGATAGGAAAACGAAATACCGGTCTCTTTGCCCAAAACAATTTCTCACTCTCTAGTGAATAGCAACTGATGCTCTACGAAATCATAAATTACTTCTATCTTGGATTCTGGTCTGGATTTCACCAGCAAACAGTCGCTATTTTAAAGAAATTGTTTGATTAAAAAAGGGAGCTCAGAGAAGCCTTGCAGTGTCTCATTCCCAGACCTCTTGCAAGTTCTCTTGCATTTCGAATGGACGCAGTTAATGGCGGGCAATGATGGACAATTTCCATCTCATATTACTACATCAATGGCCAAAGTTTTCCAGTTTTCTGGGATACGTGGGCCATGTTACCGAATTTTGAATACAGTGAAAACTGCTAGAAATAATTTATCTCGACGTAGGATTTTGTAAAACACACTTGAGACTTCACTTTAAATAAGACGATTAACTTCATCTTTTAATTGTGGAAAAAACTTGAAAGTGACCAAGATATTCCGTTGAATGGCACGTCTGTTTCTCACCTTCATAACTAAAGATTCAAGAAACAATGGAATTATTATATTACAATACAGGAAACTAGAGCACAAAATGTCACCCAGCGATAAAACACCTTTTCAGTTCTTTCCAATTCGTACTCCCTACGAGCCCATCTTTTTCCAGCTTGCATTTTTGTTAAAGAGGATATCCACTTATAATTCAACCTTACAACCGCAAAATAATTGCTTTTCTAAGGCAATAATTTTCAATCGTCAATACATTTCCGAGCCAAAAATACGATCTCACATCTAACCAATATCGAAACGGTAAAAATATTTCAAATTGAACGACATTCTGATATACATCAGAAATGTGCTGTACAGAAGATACGTCTAATGAAAATTGCCGTGTCATTGTTTTACGCGAAGTGATCAAATATTCAATTAACGGATGAAAATATCTTCAAAATATAATGTTCAGAATCCCTCTTGGTTAGATAATGGACGCATAGAATGAGTCAAAAGTCACCGATGTTCAAATTTGGCATCACGTTCCAACCTGAAATTACTCGGAGCCATGTGTGCATTCACGCTCCACACCGTCAACTTCTTTTACGATGCCTCCGCGAGGTAAACAAAAATGCATGTGGTACACATTTCGAGGACGTTACATTACGTACGTCGTTTGCAGAGAGGCGAAAAACAAGGCGTTAAGGGAGGTCTTTATTTCTCGCCTGCAATAAACTTTTCTTTTTTTTCATACTGAGAGTTTCTCAGAAAAATCTCGCATTACAATTATTAATAAAATTATCAGAATTACATAATTAGCATAATTATTAGAATTACTTTCTGCTATTTTTGCAGCAATTTATTAGTTTTAAGTCAATTATACCAAGCATCCAATTTTTACAATATATTTTGATATTGGAGGGTAGGGTGTATTATAATTTTTCTTGCCTAAATTAACTATGACATCTTTGGTATAGCAAATATACAGAACTTTCATTGAAACAGGTTTCTTTTCTGGACCAATTTTACAAGAAAAGTAATTAAAACACTGAAGCCCTTAAATAATCATCTCAAATTGGATTGTTTACGGCGTACACCTCTGGTACACATGGTCTCAGGATAAATTCTCAGTGGCGAAGCTATCAATATTTCAGTACTGCCCCACCATCAACTTCAGCACAGCTACCTATATTTGATGGAAATGAAATTTGACTAAGGAAATTCAATATGCCAATTATTTGCCACTCAACCTCATTCAAGAACAAGTATTGTTGGGAAGACCTAAAGTCTAGGAAACAGTTTTCAGAATTTCCTTCCAATGTTTAGACACTTACAGTGAAGCATATCAATAAACGGAATCAATCTCTCACACAGGCACTTCTTGAATGCACACATAGTGATGGAAAATGTGACTTAACTATCTCATCATAGGACTCGTAAACACACACTATAAAACCTTCAGCCCGAATTCAAATAACATTTTCTCTCTCTTTCTTATTCCTTAAAAAGAAATTATTGATAAAAATACAGCAAAAAAATAATAAGATTTATAATACAAAACACATTGATAATATAATTGGCAGGTGCATGTAGTAACTAACAAGTATTATAGCTGCAAAAGAACTTTACAAGAAGAAATGCAAAATGTTGTTAAATGCTATTGAACACCATATTAATAAAACTTCTTAACAACATTGTGAATAGTTCCCAAGAAACACAAAAAATGAAAAACATCATTGCAAGATCACTTCAGAGATGAAAAATTAATCAAAATATTTGGTTCCTCTGCAAGACACAATGAAATATCAGTTTTCGACTTGTTGACTATTTTTCATTACAGTTTTTCCGTCTAAATCTATCTTTGGTAAATTCTGTCTTCCAGGAGGCAAATCTGATGATGTCAAAACCATCAAAAACTGCTTATCTAATTACTGAAAACTTTGGTAAATACAACATAACCTCAGTTATTCACCAAGTTATTTTCGGTTTGTCATTGTGTTTCAGGCCATAAATTCACTGCAGAGGGGACACAAGAAAATTCAGTCCACTAACTAAATCATTAATAATATCATTCCCCAATTTATACACTGTCAGGAACTGATATTGAATACCCATACCCTGCAAATCTAATCAATCAATTCCTAGGAATTAGGTATCATTTCTATTAAGCATATTGTCCTGTTTCAATCCTTACCAAGGATGCATACAAAGCAATGAACAAAAATATACATGTGGAGTAAATGAACAGAACCCCAAATGAAGATTAACATTTTGATTTAAGACCTTGTGGCTCTAAGCTCTTCTGGAGTTAATTCATTTTGATAAGTTGCTTCACATAGTCTTTTGTCTTCAATATCACAAGAAATGGACAGATTACACATCTACTTCATAGTATTAGTTTTAACTGTTTTATTGGATTAATTAATTAAAAATTAACAATAGTTAGTGGGCTGATTGATGACTATTGATGCAAATATTTTTTCTTAAGACCAAAATCAAAATACTCTATAAATATTCCTCATAAAAAGAGACACAAAAATATGAAACATGTAATATCGCCACACAGAACTCTCAATCAAAACTTTTAATATATATCTATATATTTCACAATTAAATCCAGAAAAAAATAAGTTACTGAATATTGCAAGGGATGTGTTAAAATTTCAGAGAAAGCTGTAAGTGCAAACCAACCCTAAACAAATTTATGTACAAATGATTTTTGTGAGGTTTGTTTCATCACAAATAACAAAAGATTTTATTTTTAGCAAAAATATAAAACAAACAATCAATCAAAAATGAATTTCTTATTAAGTAGGTTTAAGGCATAAGAAATTAACATCAGGAGTAAAAGTTCTATTGATGAATAAATATTAATATTTAGCTAGAATTAACTACGACAACAGGAAAATGTCCACAGAGGTAGCAATATATTAGATCAGGGTTGGCAGTGATAACACAAAACTAACCTCTTTGTTTACGTCACCTGGTAAACAACAACAAACAAAAGACCGGTCAAGAACAGGGGCAAGTAAGGCGGATGGGGGAAGTCGGCCACGAGGGAACAAAGGGACAAAGGGCAGGGGAAGGCAGGGGGAAGTGCGGAAGACGGAAGGAGGGCCGGCGGGAGGCAAGGGCTCACCTCGAGGTTCATGCCGCAGCTGAAGCGCGACGTCAGGCTCTCGGCGACGCGCGCCGAGAAGTTGAAGGGCAGGGTGCGCGCGCCCGTCAGCCGCTTCACCAGGAACTCCTTCCAGTCCTTGTACTTGTCCTCGATGGTCTTCGGGGGAATGAGCGGCTTGCCGCGCGTGGCGCACCACCCCACGGGGTGCACGGCGCTCGAGCACAGGTTCACCCAGAAGTCCTTGCTGCAGTTCTGGCCGAAGCCCTCGTAGCGCAGCAGCGCGTGGTAGCCCGCGATCTGCAGCACCGTCGCCACCCAGAAGGAGTCCGGGAGCGACTCGGAGAAGTCGTCGCAGTCCGTGTTCTCCACCTCTACCTTCATACCCACCGTCACGTTGTCCCACGAGTCCGCCATGGGCGCGTGCTTGAAGCAGGAGACGGGCGCGGCCACGAAGCCGGGCTCTGACAGCTGGCCCTTCCACTCGTAGGTGTGCGCGGGCGCGGGCCGGGCCAGCTTCGTCGACGGGCTCGGGGGGTCTTCTGCCGAGGCGGGGGGCTGTTGCGGCGCGTTGCCGCCGCTGTCCGACAGATTGAACACGGGGTAGGGCTTGGGGATGGCCTCCCCCCGCCGCTCCATGTCCGTGTACTCGCGGGCGCACAGCAGGCTGCAGAAGCGACGCTCCTTCGTGTAGAACGCGTGTTTCACCCCGATCGCGCCGCACTTCTCGCAAATGGCCATGCCGTCTTTTTCTATGGGGATGATGTTAGGGTCCGAGTCCTTTTGGTAGGCGATGGGAGTCTTCAGTTTGAGGCCTGGATGTTTCACGGGTTTTATCTTGCGGCTTGGCGGTGCCGGTGGAGGGATGGTTTGGGTGCCCATACTACTCATGAGAGGGGGTGAGGAACCGCAGTATGAGTCGCTCTCGTTTAGCATCATGTATTCATCAACCATATCGAGCGGCATGCGACTGCGAACTTCGTCCAGCGAGTTCGGGCTGTCCGTAAAAAAGTCACTTCTGTTGTCCATCATCATGTTGGATGGATCCGTCGAGATAAACATGTCGTTCATCCACATGATTCCGTCGTCTCGTGGTGTCATATCCATGATTTCTTCGTTTTCTTCTCGGCCAAGGCGCGAGAAAACTAGATATTTATATAACTACTAACGAAGAACGCTACAATCCCTAATCCACGCGTCATTCCAAACATCAATCACACGGCCTAGAATAATATTGCTCCACAAATATCACTATATCACATAACCCAAACAAAAGATACATCGAAATATAAAAACTGTTTAAACAGAGACGACCAGTAACTTCCACAAAGCGCATCAATACACTCCCAGCATAACAAATACCATCAATACGCCGACATTTTCCACTGGACGCGACACTAGCGCCCAGCAGCGCTTCTCGGCGTTTAACCGCACAGATGTTCATTTTTCATACTACCAACCTGGGAAACTTTTATGACAACGCTAACATTTCTGAATATTTTTTATTACAAATACATTTGCATGTTTATTAGTCGTCGGGTGTTTATCATTTCTAAATAGGTGAGAAAGGAAGCTATTCTAATTGGCATCCGTCTCACAATATGAAATAAATATTTCATGGATTTTAAACACGAACTCTTGTTCCTTTGTCCAACCTGGCAAATCCTTTCGAACAAATGTATTCGATTTAAGCCGACTTTAAGCAAGGGCATGTGTGATGAGCAAGGGATAATTAAATGAGATAAATCTTTATCATTGTGTATATTTTACGACCACATTTTGCTTTTCTTTTCTGCCTCAGTTTGGGTAATAATACGTAGCTGTTAATTGATTATTACTCTCACAACCTTAATAAAATTTTCATTCTTCGTTTAGGTCTTTTGTTTCATTTAGAACGTATTATCAAATGTGCAATCTACTTTACATAATTGGTGTCATGAATTTCGTGTACGATTTTCGAAATTATATTGTATTAATTCCACAAGATTGATGGCGCCTCACATAAACTGAAATAATGCTAAAATAAAATCACTTCTAAATTCTTTCGATTCATTTCTTGTACCTCGTCACCGTAATATCCCATTTTAGAGCTTAATATTATACCTTCCGTAAGTGTAGTTACATTGAATTCTTTGCATGCTGAATATGGTTATCATTGAAATATAATTGTTACTATGGACGACTTCAATGCAATGAAAATTTAGGTAAAATGTGAGTTACAATTAACAAAACAACAAAAGTAGGCCGAATGAGTGGGCCTAATTTCTAAATAAATATATAAATTTGATTGTTTTATGGAAATGTCGTTTGTTCGTTTTTCAGGAAGATAAAGGAGAAAAGTAAACTACATTCATGAAAATGAATTATGAATGTATTATGTATTCATCAAAATTTTATAATAGAAATCAAAGCTTCAGAATTATGAGGTGATTAGAAACCAAACAAGAGATGTTTTTAATACTTTGACATTTAATCATTTTGAAACACTTGTACCAGCAAATAAAAACTTAAGTATTGTCCAGGAAGTCCTTTTGCTTCTCTCAGATTTTCAGATGATCAGACTTTCAATTTTGGGAGGGGAAGATGGGGTAAATAGTTTGATCATTGGAAATCTTAAAGTTATATTTTTGACCTTATATAAATAAAAGTATGATGTCCCAATGTGGATGGCATTTCATAAAGAACTTAGATAACCAGTTTTTGATGGTCTGGCCATAGAACACCACCATGGCTCATTCATATTCATCTGTGGATTGGCCATCAACCTCAGTTATGCAAGGGGTTTTAGTTGAGTGCATGTGTAATCTGGAGATGTCTGTCTCTTTTCACCAACACAACTGGATATGGCAAAGCTGTCAGGCTAGCAATCAAAATTTGTTGATGAAAGATGCCAACTGTTTCTTTTTAATTTTCAAGCATCACTCTTACCACAATGCTTGAATATTAACTGTTTATGGTATAGCATAATATGTGTGAACTAATCAAAATGTCTTTAAAGAGGAACAGTGTTCACACTCTGAGGCAATATGCTAGAACTAATTAATTAAAATATTTTGATTAGTTGCATACAAAAAATTTTAAGTAATTTGTTCCACAATTTTTGTGTTCAGCCAGAAATCCAGGTATTATATCATTAATTCATCTGATATTTTAAGTAAGGATTGGTCAGTTATTAGTGAGAATGTAGTAACAAACAACTATCATGAAGCAAAAAAAACACTTTCTCAAGGTACATAAAGATCTTTATTTGGCTTATGTAATATTTATTACAGTCATTTCGTGTATAAGCACCAATACATTATAATTTCTATACTATATTAATGTAGTGTGCATTAAAATGAACACTAAGATACCCAATGGCAGAATAAATATCTACAAATCATTAAAATTAAAAAGTTCCCAACATAACATTGCACAACTTTTGCTATGAACTATAAGTGACAATTGGAGTACAGCAGTAAAAAAATCTCATTAATAAAACTTCTTGAAATGCTTTCTAAGGAATGAAATGAGCATTAATTAAATGATAGGTTATTTGAAAGAATAAAATATATATCCTTAAAAATATTTGTTGTCAAACAACATTGTACATATCAAAAATACATTTATTGCCTAACAATATTTCTCCAATATTTGTGTGAAATCTATTCAACAAGCACAAAAATTTACAGTTTTCTAACTGACAATAAAATCTTATTAATATAACTATAAAATTATAACATTGTCTCATTTCCAATTAAAGCCATTAGTATCTACTATACATTGTCACTTCCTTGTATAGTGCAACAAGTGCATAGTGCACATCATATGCATATTGTATCCTATTCTTGTGTGATTGATTTCGTACAGAGAATTTTAATTTCATCTATTAATACTATTTTTAAGAAGTATGGCTTTTTGTAATTGCTTTTTTAGCCAAAATTTATGTTAAGGCTATTTCAGTAGGCACTAATTATGATGCAGATCAAGAAAATCTGAACACTATTGGTTCTTCATAAAGCAATCATTTGTGATTTCTATCTTCCTGTGTTTTGAAGGCACAAGGCATAAGGCGACTTACAACCTAAGGCGGTGGTTTTATTCATTTGTCTACTGAGCAAATCTCAACATTTATAGTCATTTCCTGCTAAAACAAGTGATCATCTGTTATTATTTATTTCTAAAAGTTAGGCATTAGTAATCCCACAGCCATGTTATGATGAATGGACTACAGTGATGTGGTAACTAAAAATGGACATGTGCCACAAAAGCATCTTCTGCTTCTCTGCCATCTTGTGGACATTCATTCTGCCTAAAACATCCTAAAAACACATACAATGATTAATATAAAACTTACAAGTAGAAACATACAGTAAATCAAATGAGAAATCTAAAGAGATCATCTGAAGGAATAAGTGATTTTTATTGAGAAATGTTATATACTAGAAGAATCTAAAGTTCAAAATATTTACTCAAAAACAAATTTCTAATTAAAATGAGACTTTTTCACATCAGTTACCTCATACAGTAAATGGTTAATCTCTTCCATTTACATGAAATTCATTAAGCATTGTGAAAGATGTAGATAGAAGTCAATCATAATACTACTTCATATTAAACAATCATTATTAAAACTATAATTTCAAACTATACAGCTCCAGTTGTTAAGACTATTAAACTAGTTTTGGATATGCAATGGCTATCCTATAGGCTTCTCACTAAGCTCTTTGTGCAATACTTGCAGCCTTGATATTAGATGATTTAGGAGAAAACATCCTTTAGTTTTTGAATTCATAGGTAAAGTGAATGGAAAATATTTTTTAACAAATTAAATTAATTGAAAATTTTAGATGCAAGGTTGGAAATTCTCGATTTTGTTTCTTGAACAAAAAAATAAGGTTGTTTTCCCACCATGCAACTTGCATGGTGCCTGCAATAAGTTCTAATATAAATGAAATTCAGAATGTGGAAATCTGTCCAATGTGAACATACACTGCAGATCTGGCAAACAAAATTCTACAGTATTACATTGAATAAAGTGAAATCTTGCCTCAGGCAGAAAAATTTTAGTCTCTTGAGACTTTTTCAATGCTTTCCTAAATGAGAGATTTTCATTTGTATTTCGTAATATTGCTGGTTTTTAGAAAATTTTTTAATATAAGATTAGGAAATAGAACTTTTTTAAATTTAAACATTATTGAATATATTAATGTCCTTCTCAGTGCTAATATCAACTTTCTATTTAAAGTGGTAAAATTGACAGTATGTCTGGAAGAGTAAATGATGTTTGCTCTTCTTTTCTAAAAAATGCAGTTTATAGAGATATTATCACTTTCATTTGTAGGAATCCAGAAGAAGAGAGCTTAGTGCAGATATATAATCCCAATGTTTCACAAACAAATGAATACATTAGAGAACCTGTTTCCCAAAAAACTGTCCTTTACTGTTTTTTTTAAACTTCAACAAAATTATTTATGAGGACATGATTATTAAGCTGTGGATTTATAGGCATGAAAAACTGTAGAAATTAATAGGAAACGAACGCATTTAAAAATGTAAAATAGGCATTTAAAAAGGCACTATATATTTTTCTTATCGTTATTAATGTTCTTATGTAGAAGGTTTCTGAAATTAACATAATATAGTTGTTCTGACAAATCCTTGTAGAAATCCTTTCTTTCATTGTTGGACAATTTGGACAAAAAAGGCTGAATCGCAGGTTCTACCTATTTGCTTTTCATTAAATGCTAGCTGATACTCTAATGCTGCACAGTATTGTCTTTTTTCTCATATTTAATTTAAACATAAGAGAAAATATGCACAATTTGTTTTAATTGCCATGCATAACACAAATGATGTAACTAGTGGAATTACAACAGCATATACTTTCACACATTGTATCTAAAATCATATTTCAAAATTTGCACTTTTCAAAAATTTAGAGAGTTCAACAAAAATGAGATCTGTGCCATTCTTTTAAGTATTCCTTATTCTATCCATAGGCAAAAATTGAAGCATGGCCTTTTTTATAGATCTGATTTTTTAAAACATATTTCATTTTTTAAACAAAAATATTTGTATTCAATATTGTACTTTTGCATTGTTAACTTTTTGCAATTTTCAAAAATACACAGTTCACAAACCATGGAATTGGCACCGATTTTTATACCATCCTTTGATACATATGAGGAGAAAATTTGAAGAAAAAATTTGGAGCAGTTATTGAGTATAAAGTTGTTTAAAAATTTGAAGAAAAAAAAAAAATAACCACCAGCGATTTTGCATGTGTTTTATAATAGGAAATATAAGTACTGTGGTGGCAGCAAAATGGAACATACATTTATCTATAGTTGTTCCATTTCTCTGTATTCTGCAGGTTAAAAATGAAAAAAATTTACATTTTAAAAAATGTTGTCTTAAAAATTATTGCATTTTGATCAATAAATACGAGAATAGGCAACATTTAGGCATGTAAACACAAAATAGGTATTTATTAGTGAAAGAGGCATTTAAAGGTACTATAAAATTCTCATATAATACTCCTAATGCCCCAAAATGAATAAGTAACCTAAAACATTCTGGTTTCCATTAAAGGAAAAAAAATAGGCAAAAATTCAAAGCTTAGTCATTATATTCATAACATAGATTAAAATCTGTTTTTAAAGAAAATTTAGCCTGATAAATAAAAACAAAAGAAATGATAATTCATTCTTAATCTGATTATCATGAACAAAATGATATTTCATTTTAACCTGAAAATGCTTCAACCAATTTTACTGCTTTATAAGTCATAGATAGATCAAAGTTCAAATCTGAATCTAATAAGATTGTTTTGTTGATTGGCTGTTAATGTCTGATGAAACTTTGGTTTAATTTTGAGTATGAATCCCTCAATGAATCCAATGTACAAGATGTGGGATGGGAATGAGATGGGAGGAATGTAAATGAAAATATTTGCAGTTTATGCTATAGATAGAATTCATTCCTTTTTCTGTCTAATTAATAATATTGATAAATAAATACTTGGGTAACACTGGTGATGTAATGAAATGTATCTCCCTCAAAACCAATATCAGATGTACTGCAGTTGGTTCAGAAGTGACTCCTAAATGGTTCTTCTGAGAAATTGTGAATGTTAAGAACTAAAATATGAAACTTAGAAGAAAGAATTGGTTGACACAATGACAGAGACTTTCTCATTATTGTTGGAATCCTAATCTCTTTAGTTGGCGTTAGTTTTTTTGAGTTTGTCCCACCCTCTCCAGCTTAAACCTATCAACATGTAAAAGATATTTTTTTCACTTTCTTAATTTTTCGATTCCCTAAAAGTAGAACCAAAACACAACAAAAAATATAATAGAAGAATAAACAGGGTGCCATATGCAGATTTTCATTAGAAGATTTCAAACCATTTTAAGAAAATATTTTTTGAGCATTTCAGGAAATACACAATTTTGAACTCATTTTCTCAGAAAACTTTTGATCTTTCAAGAAACTTTATAAGAAACCATTATAAGCATATGTACTCACAAATTCAATAATGTACAAAATACACCCCATTGTAAATATTAACCACAAGAAAAGAAATGAAAAATAATATATTTGTGTAATTTTTCAAAAATTAAAAGAATACATGAAAATGGCATTTATATCATGTTAATCAGAGAATTCAGAACTATCATTTTAAAAAGTTTAAAGAAAAAAATTGAAACCTTTTATGAGAAAATTTTGTTTTAATCTGCCCATATATCACTCAAAAGTACGTAGAAACTACTATTTTCAAGAAAATATGTGGCATTAATTAAAGAACTACTTAACGGGAACAAATTTTATTTGAAGAAAAGATCTTGAAAAATGAAGTTGAATGAGAGAGTAGAAGAAATTTCTATCTTTTACAATTTTTGAATACTTTGAATAACTTTCTCTATACTGCATGTATATGTAGGTAAATGAGAAAGTAAAATCAATTGTAAAAATATCTATACTACTAATTTGTAATTTGTGCAAAAATGGAAAAAAAACTATGCCTATAAGCATGTGAGAGGTCTCTATGGTTTTGTTAGATACCCAGGAAAAAAACCAAAACCATTAAGCAGCTTTGATTTTGACTGAAAAATTCAAATGGTGTTTCTCTGCCTATTCTCTCACGGCACGTGTTATCTGAATTCTTGTACTCTGTCAATTACTACTTACAACACAGTTAATGTCACGCGATGGCAAGGTTTCAAGAAAGAGGCTGTCTGACATTAAATATTTGCTTTTCACATGTGAAATGAAACAGTAACTCTTTTGATGTTCTTGGTATGTAAACAGTTGTTGTACTGAGTAGCCATACATACTGTACTAAGTTATTGCAGTATTTGTGAGAGCTGCTTTTGTCAAAATATTAAATTTATTGTAGTGCTATATGAGAATTTTATTTTTTCAGTAGTATGCATACCACATAAAAAAATTAATGTTTTGTTGAGCACCACAATAAATATATTAATTCTAAGATTATTTGTTAAATACCGAAATGGACTCGCACCGAGCTCTAAACAGTTGGAAGAATTATCCTCATACACTCAATTCAATTTAGTTATCTTTGTTTTTCCATGATGAGGCTCAGATCATCAGGCCTGCTCTTCTGTCTGACCACGCAAATTCTGTTACACTCCTTTCACCTTCTGGCAGAGAAAAGGTATCTCTTGATGAAACAGGCAACTTCAATTTTGCTCAGGAGCATTTCTTAGGCTTGAGGATCTTTTACATGCAGTAAATCTTCAACATGGGACATCTGGCTTTACTTTCCATCTCAAGAAAGACATAAAAGGGATTGTTTTTCTCTTAAAATTCCACAGCTTCAATCAGGTTTGAATCCACAAACGTTGCTATACCGTAAACATTACACCATTAAGCCACAAATCAGCAGTTGAGTTTTTTTGTCAACCTGATATCATGAGCTAATAATCTCTCATGAGCTGATAAAACATGAGTTCTCCTTAAATTCATTATTGAACCCCAACAACACAAACTTCGAGCAACCACAATGGTTAGCTCCTTAAAAATTTGAGCTTATAGTGAAATTTTGATAGGTGGAATAAGATTCCTTTAACCTACCAGGGGGTTAAGAAAAGCATTCCCACCTTAGGCAACTCGACTCTCTCTCAGCTGACGCTCTCCGAGAGGCAGAGGGGGCCGGTAGTTCAAGGAGACAAAGCCTCGAAGTTCATCGCAAGGACATTCCTCTCCAGCTGCATAACAACGCAACTGGCGGAAGGCAGCAAGCTGTTAACAAACAACAATAATTGGTACTGGTATACAATGCAAAGAGAGGAAGAGAGAAATCAAGTCTTCAAATATTGGAGAAACATCCATTTAATAATAAATAAACATACAATAATGGAGAAAAATACATTAATGAAGAGTCATTCCAGTTTTCATTTGAAACTACTAAATTTCCCTCAGTATAATTTACTATGATTACAATAAATATTGTGAAAGGCATGTAATTATGATTATGACTAATGTATAAAATCATAAAATCATAAAATGCTTTTATCAAAATAAAAAATTAAGTTTTATATTTAATAAATAGCAATAATATTTTTCACATTTGCTCAGTTTTTTGGTTTCCTAATGGTAGAAATGAAAAATTACTTTAAGAATACTATAGAAATTTTGATTGACAAATTTGGAGCTGGTTTTACGACAAAGTCATTTAAGTGTTACTGTAAATTTGCAGCTTCTTTTCACAAAGATATTTGAGTTTTTGAAAAACTTTATTAGAAGTCATTTGAAGTGCTTCCACTCAGAAATGAAATAGTCCAGTACAAATTGCTGGAAATGTGCATATTAGTGACATGAGAAATATTTCAAATCAATTACATTTGTGTAATTTTTTTTAATAAACAAAAGAAAACAGCAAAATTAATTTTATGTCATCTTAAACCTTGCAATTAGCACTACTGTACAAAGAGTTTGACAAAAAATTTCGGAGCTGTTTTCAAGATAATCTTGTTTTTGTTACTTTTTAAAACTGCTTGCAATATTGTGCAAAAACTACTAAAATTTTAAAAAAAATGAAAACTATCTTAATGAAAGAACTGACTATGGAGAAACACTTTTACTTGAAGGAAAAATCTCTATCTTCAACTGGTAATAGTAGGAAGACACCCAAAAAAAGTCAATCTTTTGAAATTTTCCAAAATTCAGATTTAACAGTGAAAATCGAACATATACCATCTTTATAAGTGTATTTTACTCTATTCCTTAAAAAAATAAAAAGAAAAAATTTGAAGCTATTTTTGAGAAAATTTTGAAAATGCCCCAGGGGCTTTATGCAAAGTACCCGCATATTTTAAAGAACATTTTTCAAAATCGCAGCGCGTCGAGATGAGTCAGTTCAATTGAGGAATATCCATTTTGAAAAAAATCCTAGTATTGTTTAGGCTCAAGTGATATTTACAGATGGATGACCATTATGCAGTCAATTGATATTTCGGTATCAAGAACCCACAAAACATGGATTCTGGTTTCAGCATGGATTAGGGGATTTTTTTTGCTTTCTAAATTTAGCATTTGGATTGATTTACTTTTTCATTATCAGGGCCCGGCAATACGAGTTTTTCTACTGGAAATTCGTTTCTGTGTCACGCACCACTACGCAACTTTCTCTCTACTGTGTACGTAATAACAAGAAATAATAGTAATAATTTGTTATTGTCAGAGTGTCATTGAGTTCAGAGTTGCAAAATTACAACGGATTAGTGTATTAAATTTCCCATTCTATGATACAGATGTGAACAGATTAAATTTAAATAAAAACGCATGATATCTTCATGCACTTTTCCCATTTTATTTTTTTCTCGTGGCCTTTTTTGGGGAGGCATGCCCTTTGATTCGCCACTGCGATTACATCAGTAATATATCCAAGTGCTTGAGTTACGCATTTGAATTTGTTTTGTTAAAAAATTTTACATAATTTTTCTTTGCTTAAAACATGTTTTTTATTGATCATTTTTGGCCATGTTTTAGGTAATCAAAATCCGACCTTAGTTATATTTTCCTATCCTAAGCATATTATAATTATAAATGTACGACTGTCAGTCGCGTGTGATGTATAAATGAAGATAGTTTTTTATTCAAAATGTTTCAGTAGAAAGTGTCATATTACAGAATATGTAGAATAATGCAGGCTAAACTCAGTTCTTGCTGCAATATGATTTTATTCGTTTTAATGATTATACGAAAATATTATTACCTGAAAGTTTTGTGCAAGTTCAAAGTAATGATTACTGAAATATTTCAGGGGAGGGAAATATCCCTCATTCCCCTCCCTTGATCCCTGCCTAGCTGTAGATCAAATTGCTGAAAGAAATGCTAATACAGAAACTAATCGTGATTAATGCACAACTGAATGGAAAGTTGCAAATTGGCATGAAATGGAAGCATGATGAACAAATTCTCGTTCAGGATGTGAAATGCAGCAGATCAAAAAATAGATTAAAATGATATAAAAATAAGCAGATCCAATTCAACCAGTGTTAATCTAAAGAAATGCAACCCAGTGTTACTTACCAACACCACGTCAAAACATTTTGAAAAATAAATGAGAAATTTACAAGATTTAACATCACAAATAATGATTATGTTTTAGAAAGATTGAGAATATTAGGTATTTGAAACGATCTGAGAATTAGTAATATAAATCGGAATGGATTTTTAAAGATATATAACAAGGTAAATTTAATGAATGTGTAATTCATAAAAACGTGTTATTCTGTTATTTAATGAACATAATATGACACTTTTGATAATCACTAAAAACAAAATTACCTGCTCATCAGAAACTTCAATTGCTTGCTTAAACAGGATCCAAATGACACTTTCGTTGCATGGAGGTGTTGTGAGAGATCCCAAATATGTCCAGTACGCTGTTTCTTCTGTGTAATACAAAATTATAAATTAATACTATACGGTGTCTATTTAATACCAAATCATTAAAAAAAAACATATTACATTAATTACATATGAGATCATAGAAGATGTAAACACCCAACACTTAAATTTCAAAATAATACCAAGTACTGTAAATAATAGGAAATCTATAGATTTACATTTAAAAAACACAAAAGAAATACTTTTTATTATTGTATCAATGAGACTGCCAGGCAATAAGGGAAGGCTGTTTGATAATTCCTCCTTGCTTAGTAGAACTTAGTGTTCAAAAAACAGTTAATGGAACAGTTGTTTACAAATCAAACATTGGTTGCTTCACATGGTGGAAAAGGCTCAATAAACTGGATTATTTAAGTAGATTGGATCACAAACATAAAATTAGAACAAGAGTACAAACAACAGATGTAGGAAAATTCTTTGTAATCTGAACTCTAATAGATTGAAACAATATTCCTGCAGCATTTTCGGAGGGGGGTATTTGTTATTGCTATGCCACTATAGTAATTTTTACTTGACTATTTTGATTGGCATTGATATTTATTGACACATGTTAATGAAAATTTCATGTTCTAGAAACTGTAATAATTACACTCATTGTATTGTATAATATTGTTGTTAGGAAAATTTTTTATCTCTAGTTGTTTGTATATGCCTATGCTTGAATAAATGCAGGATTGTGTACACATGTTTGTGTATGTAGTATGCTGAAGTAAGTTTATCTACGTATGCATGAGTATGAATGTAGGCACCTTGCATTTGTGTATGTACATATATATTCGTAATTATTTTTGGAATGTCATCTTCATGTCCAAGATAAGCAATGAAGGCTAATTAATTTTATTCTTTTGATTTTTTTATATGTAATTGTATATGGTTTCATATTTCTGCCAGGGAACAACATCAACTTAATTGTAGAATAAAGATTTTATCTATGTGTATCATATAAATGCTTAGTTTGGACAGGGAAAACCTCAATTTTAACCTTTTGAAATTCAGTTCTGATATATAATGTGAGTAATAACATATCTTACTAATAATATATATTTTAAATTATTGGAAGAGTTAAGAACATTTTGTGGTAACATCAACATTTTTGAATTTGATTGCAGAAAATGAAAGAGGAAATATCTTCCACAATTTTGCAGTAGACTTCAAAAAGACGGAAGTTACTACATTGGTAGATGCACTTTCTTATGATGTTTAAATAGAGGAGAGCATGACAAAATGAATTAATTTATTGTTTAATAAATGTGGTTTTTAACTAATTACTCCCAAAAAATTTATATTTTTCTAATAGTGGTGAACAGGGAATACTACTAAATACAAAACATGTTGTCATCTACTTCAGTGTTAGATACAGTATTACATGACAATTTCAACTGCAAATTCTTACCTGGCAGAAACTTGACTGGATTGATGGGATCAGAAATTTTAATCTTTTCACCTCGATGCTGCACCTCCGACAGCCTCTTCACAATTTTTTCTAATTCTTCATTGGCTTCACCAGACTGCAGACATATCACTAATTTACTACTATATACTTAAAAATTATTTTCCAAAGTTTTAATTTGAAAAATATGTAATCAAACACAGCCAAAGAGGGTACAGAATCAATTTTACACTATTTTTTTGATGTTCTCAAATAAATTTATCTTTTTCATTCAGTTTCCCTTCATCCATCTCTTTGTGCCAGTTGTGGGGAGAGTAGAGCAAGGGGAGGGGTGTATTTTGTTCAGGAAAACTATAAAATCCAATCTGCAGTTTGTTTGCCGATGCAAATATATTTTCTATTATTTGGAAGCAAAAATTTCCAATTTTCAAATACTGCTAATAATGCTTGTTGGTACTTTATTCATAATTCAACTATATAAGAGAGATGTAAGGATTCTAGGGCTCAATAAAAAATGTGCAAATTACACTTCTTCCTAATTCATTACATTGTGTTTTTCCTTTCTTTTTTCTTCTGAAAATAATATTTTTTTAATGAAATAATCGAAAAGTAAAACAGTTCTTTTTTGTGCATAATTCCTGCACCAGGAAAAGACATTTATATTGCTTCTTTACTGAACAGAAAATTCTCGACAAATTCAAATAATATTGTGGCCCTTCAACAAAACGTTTTTCAGTTTGCACTCAAAAACTAATCTTCTTAAATTGCAAAATAAATAAATAAAAAAATCATAGTACATTTTTTTAAATGATAATCAGAAATGGGTTCTTACCTGAAGCAGAATTCCCAATACAGCAAGTCCGTCAGGCTGTGAAGCAGCCTCACCGAAAGAAGAATACTTGGTGCTGTTCCAGTGCACAAGATGCAACTGAAAATTATTCACAGACTTTAAACATCTTATAATGAAAATTATCAATTATGGGAATATACATCTTGAATAATTGCAAAACATTTTTGAGAGTAGTCTTTAAGAACATAATGGATGGTAATTTATTATCCAACATATAAAACTATTCAAGCTAATATGAGTACCTTGCATTCTACTCTCATTTTAAAAGTTATTTTTATATTGAGTGCATGAAAGTGTGTAAGTGCATGAAATGTTTATTTTTGGCATGAAAATTGATAACTTTTTTGTTGAGACCAATGCAATAAACAATCATTTTTCTTGTGTAATATAAACAATTACAGCAGATGGTTTTATCATGATACAAAGAAAAGTCCCATACTACTCCAAACTGACATATATGACATACTACACCTTTTTTGTGCAGTTTGTCATATTTTTCAAATATCTTGAGAAAATGCTAACTTACACACACGCGCACGCACGCACGCGCACGCACGCGCGCGCGCGCGCGCGCGCGCGCACACACACACACACACAGCAGTACATAAAATCCACCAGCATTTTTTATTTTTATTTTCATTGTTGGAACAACCCTGCAACCCTGCGTGAGAAGAGTTTTAAACCATATTTTCTTTCTTAAAGCTTGTGTATCCCCCCCTTTTCATTCAATAAACCAATGCAATGCATGTAAAAAATATTGCAATAATGTTGAAAACGACTTGTTTGAGACCTAGATTTTTTGAATAATAATTTTCTATACCTATGAGCTGGCTTGACTCTTACGTTTTTTGTAATATGAACACTGCATTGATGCTATAAGTGGCTTAGTTGATTGCTAGGGTAATTTATTCTCATGGAGCGACGCAGATTCAAACATTTCTAAGAGGGTCCAAGTTTTTTCTCATACTCTTATCATCACAGATTTCAGAAATGAGCAACAACAACTTCAAGATATTGAATGGGTAAATGAACCATTGAAAACCGGTTTCTCTATTGCAAAATGCTCCATACTAAGATTTGTCCGTATAACGTTGAATTAGGTAAAACAATCAAAGTAGTAATACGTACTCGTTCTGGGAGATTTCAATGCCCCCGCCGCAAAAGCGCCGAACACAAGTTTGCCAATAAAATCAAAATATCGTATGAATTCAAGTTAAGATGAATGAAACAACAATTTTAAG